CGTTAAAAATATCGGTATTTACCGGTATTCTGATGGCGGGATATCGGTATTCGGTATTTGCGATATCGATCCACTCTAGTCAAAATTAGATTTAAATCAATCATCATGACACTAACTTTTCTTTCCATTTTTGGCGAAGGTGATTCAGTCTTTTTCGCTTTTCGTTTTTCCTTTCTAACGACAAATGGCATGAGGGCAGATTCCCTCACATTGACATCGTTCCTCAAGTCTTGTATACACGCCCACATAGCGTCTATAACCATACTACGCACGTTGGGATCTAGGGCGGCAATCGTTGGCGAGGAACCCTAAAAATATATAAGAAATGTTAGAAGTGTCTTTCACCTTGCAATACGCAATGGACAACTTGCATGTTAGATTAAATTTTAATCTAAGTAAATAGAAGGGGATCAAACACCACAGCTAAAAAGAACATAATGAAATTAGTAAAATTGCAAAATTTGGTTGCGAAATGTTGTAAAGCTTGGAAAATATAGCCTTGCAAAGTTTGCAAATTTTATATATGTTTTTTTTTGTTGTTTTTTTTTTTATTAGTTTTACAATAAGAAATTGAAGGCACAGACAACAGGACTAATAAAGTCCCAAATTAAGTCCTTTGTATTACGTGCGGAAATTGTTACCATTTTCGGCTCAGAAATGGTAACAATTTCCGCACGTGATACAAACATATACAAAATATGCAAACTTCGCAAGGCTATATATTTTCGTATTTCACAACATTTCGTAACCGAATTTTGCAATTTTACTAATTTTAATAAGTTCTTCACGGGAATTTACTTTTTTTGCCTAGATCAAAAATTAGTCTAACATGCAAGTTGTCTATTGTCTGTTTAACATTTCGCCTCAATCATATGTGATAACAAGGCTTTTATACACACGTAAAACTCTCACATCTTGTAGCAAGTCTGCTAACAAGCCGTCAACAAGTTGTGTTCGCACTGCTTGTCCCAAGTTGTCAACGAGTTTGGAACAAGCTGTTAACAACTTGTAACAACCTTGTTGATATTATCAGACTTGTTGCAATGTTGTTCAAGTCCGATACAGTCATGATATAACAATATTGTTACAACCTTGTGTCGTCAACCTTGTAACATTCTTGTTATATCATAACTGTATCAGACTTGTTAGAACAACCTTGTAACAAGTCTGATATTGTCATCAAGCTTGTTACAAGTTGTTAACTGATTGTTCCAAACTTGTTACAACAAGACAGCTTGTGAACAGATTTGTAACAACTTGTTTGCAGACCTGTAACAACTTGTGCGTTTTCACGTGTGAATGTTAGCTCCTGTAAATCCCCGCGATAACTAATTAAAAATAAAGGTTTCTCACGAAAGATTGTCTTAATGTGTTTTCCATTCCAATGCGACCATCTTGCAAGCAGTACTCCGTCAACGCCACTAATTCCACAGACATTCGAGTGAAGAGAGCCGATAGTTCTGTTACATACACCGAATCTGGCTCTATATAGCAAGAAGACGAATACAGATTACGGTCAAAGTACTTTATCAAATACTAAAACCCAGCACATTAAACAGAGCAATACACACAAATATATAGCGGGTATCCCCCTCCCTCCCCCTCCACCCAAAAACACTGGACACTGTTTGATTTCATGTAACGTAAAAGTTGTAAAGGCTATCGCAATGAAGTAAAGATCATTGCATTCAGAACGGACTAACTTAGATTTTGATATATAACACTTGAATTTACATGCAATATTGACTGCACTATTGATGTTTGAACGTTGAACTACTGTTTTTGAAAATGCCAATAACCTTATAATTATTTTTTTGGCTGTATCTGGCTCAATATTGCATGTAAATTCAAGTGTTACAGTATATATCAAAATCTAAGTTAGTCCTTTCTAAATGCAATAATCTTTATTTCATTGCGACAGCTTTTATAGCTTTTACGTTACATGAAATCAAACAGTATCCAGTTTTTCTAAACCTACATATAGGTTCTAGGTTCTGCACGCGGCGTATACTATCATTAATATTGGAATGTTAGGGTTTGGAATCCAAGTTAGGCTGGATCGATATCGCAAATACCGAATACCGATATACCGCCATCAGAATACCGGTAAATACCGGTATTCCGGTATTTTTAACGAGTTTTTTTTTAAGCCAAACTGAAGTGCTGATCGTCAAGAAAAATCAAGTTTTGACAAAATATTAATGTGGCACATACTGTTATTAGCGCAAATGTCACAAGATTCGCATTATCAAGCTATGTTAACAATTAACAGCGCTAAGCGGCAATTATTAGTAGGCCGTCGATTGGGCGTCGAAGTGTTGAATTATTCAGAAAAATATTCGTTTTGTATATAAATTCAGATAGTGTTTCAGTAAGCTGCTAATAGTTATAAACATAAAAAACGTTGCATTTTTAAAACTAACACATAAACAAGTTAGCAAGCATGTAAAAAAACTTGAAAAGCCAGAAAAGGTTTTCGCTGCTTCGCAAATGGTAGTACTTCCACCTTCCAAAATCAA